AAAGTATCATAAAATATAGTTTGTGTTATCATATATGGTTTTCAACACAATATTAATGTTTGACTTCAGCTACAGCTATTTAACTAGCTAATTAATCAATAGTGATTTTTTAACAGTTACTAATATTATGAAGTTAAGTGTACASTTGTATAGAAAATATTCAAATAAAACAGTACTATATTAATTGATTGATTGAGCTCAGAACTGAGACATATTAATGGGTCCCTATAGGATTTAATTACGGGCATAGGTGTTTATGATGGAAAATGCAAATTTAGCAACCGTCAGCCTAAAAGAAAAGATTAAAAATGTAAAAATTCTAAATTAACCACAAAGTATGTAAATTTTAAAATTGTTTTAGAACCATATAACGCATGATAAAATAATTAGTAAAAAATACTGTGCGTTTGTTTTAACTAAACTTAGCAAATTTGATAGAAAATAAACCTAAAAATATTTAACCTTTGACTTAACTTACACATTAACATCTTATTATGTTCATAAAGATTTGTGCACAACTCATCCAAAAACTGATCAATAGTTTTTTCTTCAGAGTCACTAATATCAAGCAATATTCTACTCTTTGATGTATTGTCATTATTAGCTCTTTTTTCCTCAAATCCTTTAGTATTTCCATATTTGTAACTAAATTTCTTAAAATCTCCATTTCCATGTGAATATCTTTTCTTTACAACATGATCAGACTCCAGATCACATTCTCTAGAGAAATAAAACAATATATTAATAATAATTTTATATGATTTGTTTAATTGTTTATGATAATTTCATAAGTAATAATTACTTACTTTTCTCTCTTTTTATTTGACTTAGTTGATGGAAAAACACGTTTCCGTTTTGACATATGATCCCTGAATTGAATTAATTTTTATCATAACAAAATATTAATTATTATTAAAATAAAAGGTAAGATAAATACTGTAGTATCTGAGACTATTATTTATTAAGGTAAAATGTATAATAAATTTCTAACTCACTTGTAATTTTGTAGGTAAAATAATCAAGTTTGTAATTTTTAATTTCTAATTTATATAATATCTCAAATAGTGAAATGAGAAAATTGAAACTAATATGATGTACATTAGTATCTAATTAGAGAAAAATTTAACAAATGTTTTTTAWATACTAAAAATTTATAATTCATGTTGAATTTTTTTTAGTAGAAAAGTTGAAAAGTTGAAAAAATTAAAATAAAAACTRCATTTAGGTATTATATTTTTATATTAATAACTGTGTTGGTTATTAGTACTTAGGCATGTCATACACATGGTATAACATTACAGTGAATGTAGGATTCATAACTTAAATTAAAAATAGTACCTATAAAATGAATAGTTCTGTATAGGTAATCCATAAAATACAATTTATATTCCCTTTCGAAATTTTGAAATTGTCTCAAGTATAACTTAATAATATTATCAAACAACTGAACATAATCATACTTGGGCTCATAGTTTGGATCATCCATATCAGTATAAGCAGCCGTTTTAGAGGTTACTTCAAGACGTGTTAGACATCCCTCCATTTGTTCTCCAACAACAATATCTCTCCACACCGATCCCCCTTTTCGATTAACAACAGTAGTTGGCTCTTCTTCAACATTGTCGAAATCATAGTCTGTATCCAGTTCCAATGTATCTGAAATGGACTAAACAAAAAATAAAATTATTTAATACTAAAACAATAGGAAATATTTTGAATATTTAACTATAAAAATGAATAATATGTTCTGTGGTTTATGTTAATTGTGACAAAAAATCTACACACACTTGCACACTGTACATTTACCTCATTATCAGAGTTGACAACCGGAGATGCCAAATCCATTATAAGATGTATGACAATTTAATATACAACCTAATTATATTATCATCGAACAAAGTTTATAGTACATAAAAACRTACTTTGTTCAATTAAGTGACAAAATTTACAACATTGAATTAGATTMAAATTTCTAGACTAGAACACGTGACATAGGAATTTTAGGAATTTCGGAACTTTAGRAGGGTAGTTTTCAGTTTCAGTTTATATTTCAGATACGTTCAAATGTTCAATGTTCATAGGTACGTCTTCGATCGATCAGAATTTAAAAACAAAATTAATAAAATTAACGAATAACTAATAACGAKAACGTTTAACAAATACAATCGTTCAAAAATCGATTATCAATGCAGCCATACAACTACGAGCTATACGGGACGTCGTATCATGCATTCATGGCATTCATGCCATTATATTTATTTTTGAGTTATGACTGCACCAGACTACCAGAGCAGCTGTTTCAGCTGGGCACAGACGTCTTAACAAAACCAGAAGGTATGTATGCAATACCGCCAATACCCAAGGCTTATTATGTAAATACAACTTGAAAATATCGTATATCAAAGATATTTGTTATAGCAAGTGTAATTTCCAAACGGCGTACACTGAGTCACGTGCTGAACAGTAAATGTGTTACATAAATCAAGTAAAATAAAATAACTGAAGTACTGATTAAGCGCAAACAGTTTACAGTATGTTGTCACTGTTATCAGTTATCACAGCTGCTATCAAGACATTCAGAAATCGGTGGAAAGTGTGTACCACGGTTAAAGATATATATATATATATCTTTAATCGTGGTGTGTACCAGTGTACCAGTGTACCAGTGTACCCATGGAATATTATTCTGCGATCCAAACATAGACCAACAAAATAGACGGAACATGACGTAAGTAGACACCCATGTTGACGATATGCTGCGTACCACGGTRCCACAAAGCACCGAAGCACACCGCACTATAAAAAAAAATAGCAACGCACGATAAAAATCCATATCAATAATATTGTACAACTACTGTACAAGTATTGTACGATTGCTGTTATCATTATTCTTTACACACGTGTTGATTGTTCTGACGGTTGTTATTTCATTTTTTGCACTGAGTATTTTTTGTCGTTTAATTTTCGGCAATAGCTATTTTTTGCGCTCCAATATTATCACAATTTTTATTGTGTAGAAATTWAAAAAAAAATTTTTGTTCTGAATGGTTATCACAACTTTTCTTGATCGCACAGTAACGCAGGGAAGAATATGGTCATATGAATATTCCTTCTATAAGTATAACACTTATGATTCAAACTTAATTATTTCAAATTTCAAATTGCGTTTACCGCTATTATAGAACCACAATARAACATGGGAGAAATAATACGAATTACGATWACAGGGTGTATGTATTATTTACATTATTTTTAGGTAAGGAAATGTATGATCTTCACTACATCGTGACGTTAACCAATAAAAATATTATTTAAAAAAAAATATTTAATTCATCGGGATCCTAAAACACTGAACAAAACTACAACTTATATTTCCTTTTTTTCCGTCTTCTGTATTCTGACCTTTAGGTATAATCGTACTATGCGGAAGATGGAAATTGAATTTGTTATTTACTTTAAAGTTTACCTGTTAAACCCAAAAATTAAAAGTTCTAGAAATTAAAAAAAAAAGACTAGGTAGTAGCGTATTTTTAACAGTCCTTTGGACGAGTTATACGTATAGATCAAAATCAAATCGATTGTACAATAAATGAATTACAATACGAGGTTCATTACAAATCAAACGATACCTAATCAAACAAACGAGTCAATAAAGGAACTTAATTTTAACATTTTCCGGATGTATACACAAATTTAAAATATGAATCTCACATTTTATAAAAATACAACTAAAACATACCTATTATGATTACAATTTTTGACGAATACCATTTGTCCATTTTACCCATTTCAGCGCATACCTACATTTAAGTGTATAGCGATTATCAATACCCGATATAGGTACATCGTACCTATAACTGTATTCAATGGCGGCGGGATATGAGGTTATTTGAAGCAATTGCTTAATGCTTTATGTCTGAAATCCCTTTGACCACTGCTGCTTTTTAGGGTTGGTGGTAAAAAATATTTAAAATATACAATATACTTGAAAGCTTCCACAATTTCGCGCCGCCACTGACTGTATTGATGTATATAGTCATATAATCGTAAATACGTATATTAGTGTATAAGTTAAACCAGTTGTGCCAATCAGGCACAGGATGCAGGGTGCAGGGTGTCAGGGTGTGCACCTACACACCCTAAAATTGTTTTATCTACAATAATTTATTMATTAATACTATGATGGCCTTGTCACCTTCACCTTCAGTTTACCTATATCTAAATTGTACATAGTACATACATGATACATAGCTATTCATTGGTAAAATAAATGATTTTAAAATATTGTAGGTATTCATTGATTTGATCAATATCACTTTATCCACCGATAAGTATAAACTTTTAATGATAATAATCGTTACYTTTAGAAAAAATACATGATAATTATTAAATTATTTCAATGATAAATCAGATTGCACGCGAAAACGAAACTGAGCGCGCAGACACACCGTTTTAGTTTATAATTTTTATCAATACTATTTTATTTATCTATATTAAAATTAATAATTCTTATTTTTCCAGGAAAACTGTAGGACTGAAAACTATTTTTGGCAAATAACGTGGATTATATAATTATAAATATAATATTACTTCTTAACTAACTTTAAATATCTATAAACAAATATTTGCCAATACCGATGTTTTTAAGTTGCATTAACTAAAACAACTTAAAAGTTATGACTGATGAGTGATCTTTTAATATAAATATATATTATATATCAAACATAGCCAAAAATAACAAATAATATATAGGTATAAAA